TTCCCTTCCCTTCCCTTCCCTTCCCTTCCCCTGGGCAGCTTCCAGAGCCAGCAATGGCCTCAGGCTCCCCCCGAGGCAGCCGGTATGTTTGGAAGAGCCGCTCCGCGCTGCCACTCCGCTCGCTCCGCCTTGCGGATGTGCATCTGTCCGCTCTGCTTGCGCTCGCCTGGTGCCCGTCGTGAGCGACCCGGAGGATCCCGCTACACAGATGGATCCCGGAGGATATTCTACTAGTGACTTGCAGAAAAGCAGGAGCGCATTCCCGGCCAGGCAGCCGCGTAATCCCTGGCTGCAGCCCAGCCCGAGGAAGCCTAAGCCCTGGTGCACTCGGAGTGCTCCGGCGGCGCTCCCGGTGCTTACGGCTAAGCCGGGGCTGGATGAGCCGCCAGCGAGCAGAGCTAAGCCCAGCTCCAGCTCCTTTCCCACCAGCTCCTCAGCCAGATCCCTACAAGTCTTGGCTTTGATTTCACTGGAGCTTCCTGGTGCTTCCCGGCCTTCGGAATGTGACCAGCCTCCGTTTCCACCTCCTCACCTTGTTAATTCCCTACCGGCTGGCTAAGATCAAGCTGCTGCTTAATGCCATGCAGTGGGTTTTAATGAAACTGGCTTGACTGAGATAAAAAAGGAGCAAAAAAAACCCCACAACCCTTGGTGCTAATTATTCGGAATTGGATTTGGAACTTGCCATTAATGCCAGATTGGCATTAACGATTTGAGGGTATTTAAAGGACCTTTTTCTATCTTTATCTCTGAGCGAAGCTCTTTACACAATTTTTAATTAGCAAATTTTCCTGACTGCTTTGGGGAGCGTGGAGACTTTTGTGGTTTCAGATGGGGTGGGATTAACACATGGAATGTTCTCCATGGAGCCTGGGAAATCCAGAGGCATCGGCCCCTTCCCAATCTGGCCGTGCTTTAGTTCTCATTTCTCTGCCCCCAGGTAACCAAAGGTGCTGCAAACCCAGAGCATCCCTGCCCGAAATGCTGTGGAAAAGCTGGYGACGACAGCATGGAAATTCCCCTTGGAATTGCCCCCGGTCAAGAGAGGAAGCCAAGCCAGGAGCAGGGCAGGTGGAAACCACTCGGACTCTGTTTCAGGCTCTTTTTTGAAAGGAAAAACGAGGGAAAATAATCGAAGGAAAACGAGGAAATCGAAGAAAAATGAGGGAAAATAATCGAAGCAGGGAGGAAAAGCCGAACAGATCTGCTGCAAACGCTCCAAGAGTTTTGCTCGGGATCAGGAGGGAAATGAGGGAAATCAGGTTGCTCTTGCTGTGCCCTTGCAAATGCCCCAAGCTACTCTCGGGACACYGAATCCATTCCCTTTTCCTGCCTTTTCCCCCAGCATACCCGTCACCAGGAGGGTTTTTTCCATACCAAAGGCTGTGATTTCTCTGAAGCCCGCGGGAGGTGCCGGGAAGCCCGAGCGGGCGCCGGGGGGACAAACTGCTGCCTCCGCTAGCAAAGTGCCAAGCGGTTCCGTGTCGAGCCAGCTTCCATTTCTGTTTTCTTTTTCTTTTTTATTTCTATTTTTATTCTTTTTCTTTTTATTTTTGAAAATGTAGGTCATGAAGAGCTTTCCAAAAGCTCTTAATTTGGTCTGGGGTCCCAAAACAGTGTGAGGGAGGGGGAGAAATTGCTACCTGACCAGCTGCTTAGTGCAGAAGTAATTCACCTTTTTTTACCCTTTTCCCAGATATTTCTGCCTTTTTCTTTCTCCTATCCAAGCTTTTTTCACAGCATCTTCCCAGGCCCAGGGCAACTGGATATAACTTGGCCTGGGGTCTTGGCACGATGCTCCGATGGGGCTGCGGCATTCTCGTGCCCAGCCCCTCCGACACGGATCGCGTATACCGCTGGAATATACCCAGTTTTGTCCAATTGTGTGAAATTTCTCTCTCTTTTTTTAAAACCTAATGCTGAATTTATTTTTTAAATAGTTTTCATGAGACCTTTACGGATGCTCTTTCATACGCCACGATTAATAAAATGTTGAAACCGTGCCTGTTTCCATCATCCCGCCGGAGCTGGCGCTCGAGGGAGGGCTGGGAGTCGCGAGGAGCTGCAGGCAGCTCCTGTGTTGGGGAATTCGGGAGCCGCTGGGATGCTTGGCCRCTTGTTTAACAGATCATCCTAGCCGACCTCTTGGCTGGCGTGGGACTCCCCGCGCACGTGTCCTCTGCCCCYGCTCTATCGACTTCTCGTTCTTTGGTTTCTGCTTTTTTCAGCACTTTCAAGTTCCTCCATGCGGCGTCCGACCATCCTGGTTTGTGCRATTTTGGTTTTCCTTAAGGAGTCCACTCATGAATCCACTGGGATGCTCTGCATGGCTCTTGCGCTCATGGGCACCCAGGGGTGCAGATCACCCCGATGGGTATCCCAGGCTGGATCCGTACTCCCCAAGGCTTCTTTGGCTGCTCTTCCTTCTGTCGTTCGTGTCTCAGGGACCACCCAGGTTATCCGTTTAGTAGTGTCTGATTGCTCCGTGCTCATCCATGGCTGACGCCAAGAGCTCRCCTGGCATCCCTGCCGGCTCGCTGCTTTCTCCATGATCCAAGGGTGGAAAGACACTTCATCTACTGATCTTCCAGGCGGTTCACACGTGAGTCCCCCTCACTCCATCTATACCTCTGCATAAATGAGACCTGTCCCCTCTGTCAGCCATGGATGCAGACACCTAAAGCCAAGCTTATCTGGGGAAGAGAGACCTTAACGGCTGCAGCAGCCCTTGATGGTTGAGCCCTCCTGAGGAAGAGGTGAGCAGGAGCCTCTGAGCTCCCTTGCGGATCTGCCCAGGACTCYTCCGCCCACCTTGGAGATCTTTCCTGAGATCCCAAGCAGGGATGCTGAGAATTGGGGCCATCCCGGATGCTCCCAGGACCGCTCTGTGGAAATGAAGCTTTTATTTTATTATTTTTTTTTAATCTCTAGGGGGAAATTAGGCAAGGTTTTTGAGACAAAACTGCTGAGATTGGAGCCTGGAGGTGGGTAAGTCACGTTCCGTGGCCTCGCGGGCAGCCCAGCAGCTCCGAACCGCYGGTGCCGCCTGAGGAGGGGGAGAAGGGGGAAGCCGGGGCTAAAAATAGCCCTTTTTTTATGAAGCAACGTCTGAAAACCTCCGAAAGAGCTGGGAGAGAGGGGGAGGGCTCCCATGGCAACGGGGAAGTCTGGCTCTTCCCAAAAGAGGGGGTGGGAGATGAGGAAATAGTAAATAAGGCAGAGCAGCAGCGGGGAGGAGGGTGCCCAGGGGGACGGCGGGTGGGTAGGACCAACCCCGGGGGAAAACGGGACTCTGCTGCCACCCACCCGCAGGGCCTGGGCCACGTCACCCTTGGAAAGCAAGGGCAGCACCACGAGCATCATCCTCCAGCTCCTGCTGCCGCGGAATCCCTCGGGAAGGTGCTTGGTACGGCCCCGTGCTCCCACACAGGGCAGCAGGTGCAGAGGGGCTCCTGGAGCTCGCTGTTTTCCAGGTTTTTGGGTGGTTCCCATGGGAAACGGCTGCCCGTGCTTCTCCTCGCATCCATTCCTGGTGATTTCCTACCTCCAGTGTCGTGGGAAAAGGCGCCTGAGACATTGAGATACACCACGATTTTCTCTACCCCTGAGCAGTTGCAGTTCGTGCTACTGCAGCAGCCCCTGRTGGGGCAGAAACTGGAATAACTAGGATAATGAAGTCCTAAAAACAAGTTAAAGGGATGTTAAAGGACACTGAACTCCTTTTGGTCCAGGAGGGACATCCCAAGCTGAAGGATGGTGGCTGTATCCCAGTGCTCGGCTTCCCATCACCTCCATGGAGACCCTCAACCATCCTTGAACCCCATGACCTGATATGGACCAGGGTCRGAAATCCTGGGGTGGAAAAGAAGACAGAAGAGGGAAAAGGAGGCGGTTTGGGTGCGGGGCCAGGCTGGGATGCTCCGGTAGAGGGCAGTGGAAATGTGCTGGCCGGTGGCTGCAGGGTCCAGCTCGGTCTGGAGCGGGACACGGCACTCCAGCTTGCACTGACGTGTCCGGTGGTTCAAACCAGCTACAGCTCCCAAATGTGCCCAGTAAAGCTGGGCTCTCTCTGGTGTCTCCACTTGGGTGAGCACCTCGGAGCGTCCCTGTTCCCATTCCGGCATCAAAGCGCTGCCCCCCGAGCTGGTCCAGATGCAGGGGGGTGCCCTCCTTGGGGTGGCAAGGAGGGGACCCTGCAAACACCCGGCGAACAGGCGGGCTCAGCTGAGACCCTAAATCAAGTCCCGTCCCTGGGATGGGATTTTTGCATTGGAAAAAACCAGCAGCACGAGGCAGGTCAGCTCACGGGGAGGCTTTGCTTCCACGGCTGAGAGCTATTGAYTTCTCAAGTCTCAGATAATTTGGCCCCTTCCTTCCTGCTTGTGCAGGTCAAATTAAGCCTCTCTGAGAGGCTTTTACCCGGCCAGGCTGAAGCGGGTGCTCGCCCCATGCCCTGCTCTAAAAGGCACCGTGTCCATTAGCTCACCCGGAGCTAGCAGCTACCCAGCATGAAATATTCACAACCTGGGCAGGTTCCCAGGACCTGAAGTTTTTGATTTTTTTTTTTTTTGATGGGCAAAATGACCTTTATTTTCAATGAGCAATGCCTGGCTGGTGCAACCTCTGCTGCCTCCCCTCCAGGCAAGAAGTAGAGCAGAGGGGAGCATCTTCAGAGGCAAATGTGTTGCAGCACAACAGTCTTGGCCAGGGACAAATTCAGAGCCGAATCTATTTTCTAAATCTATGATAATCATCCATTTGATTATGAAAAACAACCTGGAGAAACATGGTGAAAATGTATTTCATGTCAGCTTTGCAGATGGGCAATACGTGCTGGGTTTCCTGTTGGCCTTGGTGTCTATTCCGTTGGCTTTAATCATCCCCAAAATGATGAGGGCAGCGACTCAGGGCTGTCTTATCACTTGGATTCAGAAGAAGGGCAATATGGACTGTTCATGGAATCTGAGGGCAAYTTCTGGGACCGAGAGGTCTTTCCATAGTCCAGGGGTTGTTCTCAGGGCCTGAAGAGCCTGGACACCACTGCTGGCTCTGCTCCTCCTTCCCCAGGTGACCTTGGCAACCCCCTGGACCTCCTGTCACCTCCCTGTCTCCCTGTAGTGCTGCTCCGACCTTCCTCACGGCAATATCTCAGGATTTTCCAGCAGCATCTGCTAGGGAAGAGCGAAGTCAGTGYCATGTGTCCGTGCCAAGATGTTCCCAGCTACAGCATCAGCATCACCAGCGTCTCCGTGCATCTCCTCATCCTGCTCCCTGGAACCACGAGGACCCAGYGGTCCCACTAGGGACCACAGGAGGACCAGGATGCTCATCCCTGCATCCGAGCCCACCAGGGCGATGCTAAAACACACRGGGGTGACAAGAGGGTGCTGTATCGCAGCTCACTGTATTCCCTGGAAGACCAGGTTGAATCCCGGCACGGCACCGGCACGTGCCAACACACCAAGCACGAGAATAGCTCAGGATTAGGGTAGTAAATCAGCAGCGCGGCGCTCAATTCACAAAAACTCGTCTCGCTTGCGCTAGAGGGTGTTTGGCCCTTTAAAGGGAGATGATTTCCCTGCATATATGAGAAAAACACGTGTTCTTTTTTTCTTTTTCCTTTTTTTCTTTTTTTTYCCTTTTTTAACAGAAAAGCAGGAATAACACGTTATAAACTTGGCTTTGCTTGGCCTCTCTTGCTCCCTGCTTCTTGCAGAACTGCAAGCGACAACCAGCCGCTCTACTGAAAACCTTTCCAGGCTCCTTCTCTATCCCCAAATCTGCCATTCCCCCCCATCTCGGCGCATCCGGGCTCTGCTGGTCCCAGTGCAGCCAGGAGCTGCACGGCAGAGCGATACCAGGGATGCGGGGATGCGATTAAATTCCCGCTTGCTGGAATCTAGGTCTCGTGGCGGCGGGGAGGGGGGAGCAGCTCCTATTAATCTTCTGCATATTCATGGTGAGGCTGCCGCGCTCCGYGGTTTTCCCTCCCGGCCGGCGTGCGGGAGCGGCCGCTGCTTGTGCATGCACCGCATGCCCCGCTGCAGAGCCCAGGGCCRCTCGGCGCCTTCCTCTTCCTCGTCAGGCGGGCGCTTTGCCC